AATACGAATTTTTTCGCTATTTCAATCATAACATACTTGATATTGGATAAAAAAATTGCTCATAATCATCTTCTTCTTTCTGTATTGATAAAATAACTTGTGAAAATTCATTAAAAAACTCGTTTTGTTGATCACTAAAGAGAAATATAATTTTCCATGATCGATGAGAATAATGTTTTGATCCGAGTTGATTTATCATTTCATTAAGAATATTTTCTGCTAATTGTTTTCTATGATCATAATTTTCCCAATCCGTTGTTGCAAATGCAATTGTTTTAACAACATTTGTACAAAGCATATCTATTTGCTTAATTGATGTAGAAATAAATTTTTTTATTGATTCATTTATTTGATTATTATTTTGTTGTGAAAGATCTGGTGACCATTCAATAAATAAAACTCTTTTACCAGTATCAGATTCAAAATAACCATTTCCATATTTTGGATCGATATTTTCTTTAATAGCATCTGATATTGTTGATATAATAGTAATATCAACCTAGAAAAAAAATGTAAACTAATATAATAAATAAATAAATATATAGAAAAATTCATTCATCAAACTAACTGTTAAATCATACGATTTATGAATTTCTATTATATTATTTGATATAGAAAGTTTTCTCCATATTGATAATGAAGAATAAAATTGATTTGATTCGTTTATAATATATTTCGATGTTGATATATTTTTTCCTTTAGGTAAAATGATAAGTTCTTTTTTTGTTTCAATATCAATTTTATTTATTTCACAATTATAATTTTGAGCAAGACTTTTTAATTTCAAATCATCTTTTTCTGTTAATATAAATGCATTTTTAATATATCGAAATGTAAGTATAATTGTTTGAAAAACCATTGATTGTATTAATTGTTTTATTTTCATAATTAAATATTGTGGTGCAATAATTATATTTTCACGAATTTGAATTTTAACATTATCATCTTTATTATCTATTTCGAGATTTTTAATTTCATGAACATAATTATCTAATAGAAATTCACGCTAAAAAAAGAATTAGTTAATAAATGATCATATGAATTTTTTGATCTACGAAATCTTTTATTCCACCTAGATTTTGTTTTTCTAAAAACAATCGCTTTATATTGTACTAATAATAACGGACTACTATTAAGGTATATTCCGTTCGTTTTGGCCATTTTGTTTCTTGAAGAGAATACAACTGATCTGGATGAAATTCATCATAGATAGAGCATCTAAAATAATGAGACATGTGTTCAATGAAAAATATCTAAGCAAGACTTTTGTGGTTATTTCTAGAAAACTCTGATTTTGCATAAAATCACATCAGGTCTACTGACGACCCTCGTCTCTAACTTTGTCCGATCGGGCTGATATTATTATCACAGATACTTGGAATTTTTCTCCAGAGGTGAAATTGGCTGTTTTCATTTTCGACTATTCCTATTCGAATTTATAGTGTTGAACAACAACATTCGGGTTTTGGATCCGAATATTTATGTATTTGTCTTATAAAAAAATAACGAGAGATTTTGAAATAGTCTCAAATCACTTTTTGAGGTATAGGCTAAGGTATTTTCAAAAAAAGAAATTTCAATACGATCGAACAAAGTTACAAATGAGAAGTAAGTGGACCCGATGTGATCCTATAGGAAATCTAGGTTTTCTGAAAAATTGTAAAAATTTTTTTCTTCGAACATATGTTTCTTTATTTTAATTGTCATATCTATGATGAAAATTTCAGGCGCATTGATTTCATCTGCTTCAAGAACCAAAAATAGGGGAACGGACACCGTTGAAACATGAATCCGATCTCTCGAGCATCGAAATATAGATTAAAGAAATTTAAAAATCGATCAACTAATATATTTTTACCTGTTTTGAATCAAGTCCAATCCATATATTTCTCATTCGATGTTTGTTAATCAATAGTTTGATTTGTTTTTTAGCAATATCAACTTGATTTCTTAATCCAAAAAAACTAATTTTCATTTCTGTTTGAAAAGGATATTGACAATAAATAATAGACATTGTTTGATATTGTAGTTGTTGTTCTTTTTTATCATTAATAAATTCATCTAATTCTTTTCGAAATTTCGGTTGAATATTTTCCACATTTTGTATAACAATATCTTTAACATAAGATATTTCATTATTGACTGTATGATTAATAAATTCTTCTGAAACACTAAATGTATGTTGTCCACTAATATAATGAACAATATAATAACCGGATAATATATTCGTTTTTTCCCAAAATGTTAATTTTTTCTTGTCAGAAAAAATTTTTTGTAAAATAGTTAGAGTAGAATCGGAATAGATATATTTTGACAAATGAATAACTAAAAACAGATGGAATTACTTTTTTATATTCGAAACAAATGCAAATAAAAAAAAGTTAATTCTTTACTTTTTTTATCTGTATCTTCATTATTGAAAATTTTCGTTTTAATTGTTGTAAGTAATGAATGAATATCATTGCGAGCATTTTTGACATTTTCTTTAACACCCGATAATTTTATATGTAATGCAACTTTGGTATCATATTGATTTTGTATTGGTATATGACATGTAACATTATAGTTTTTTAGAAAATATTTCGTTAAGTTCGAACAAATTAATTCGCTTTTGAAAAATTTCATACCAATACTCTTTGATTCAATAGTGTAGATTTTTGAATATGTTCCTGTATTATTGATTGTATAAGATGTAGCTTTTAAAGTTATAAATGATAAACTAAACAAAAAATCGAACATTTTTCAATGAGAATAACTGAATTTTTATGTTTCAACGGTTAACCTGAATTTGATCGAAAAGTTAAAATGTCGAAAGTAGAAATGTCGAAAAAAAAAACGTAAAAATGTCGAAAATAAAAATGTCGAACAACAAAAATGTCGAATAGTCAAAAAGACCGAAAATAGAATATCGAATAACAAAAATGTCGAACTAGAAAAATGTCGAAATAGAAAAAATGTCGAAAAAAGTGTAAGAAAATTGTATAGAGATATATTATTGTATTGCTGTTGAAATGAAGAATTTATTAAAGTTTTAAAAAATGCATCAATTATTGAAAAAAATCGTAATGAAGTCAGAATTGAACAATAGTACATTCTTTTTTTTGCATCTTTTCTTTTCGATGTTTTTTCTTTTTCGATAATTTTATCTTTCGATATTTTTCGTTTTCGATATTTTTTTTTCGACTTTATTACCTTTTCGACATTTTTATTTTCGACATTTTTACAGTCGACATTTTTATTTTCGACATTTTTCCATTCGACGTTATTCGATAGATTCGTTTCAATTTACTTGTTTTCATTATTATTTATACTTGTATCAAGTCGTTTATTTATTGATGAACTAAACAAAAGAAATTTTACGATAAAATAGTTATGATGAATATATTTACCTGCTTCGTCTACGTTTTTTTCTTTCTTGTTTTATTAATTTTCTATAATCTTCTAATGCTGCTTTAAATTTACGTTGTATTCTCATTGTAGGATTTGTTATTGTTCCATGTTCATCTTGTGTAGATAATAATTTTAAAATTTCACCATCCTGTAAACCTAGCAGAGCTATACCATCAATATCTTGATCTAATGTAAATGTATCAAAGTGAATCATAATAAATAATCAATATGAACATTTCTTACTTTTGAAAATTTCAGCATATTTATCAAATTTATTGGCTTTTAACCAGTCTTCAACTTGGTCTACTGTCCAAATAGCCATTGATGTGTCTAAATATTTAATGATTGAAAACGAAATAATACGAAAACAAGAGAAGTACTTGAATAAAAGCAACATCTACATGCTATTTAGTCATAATACTTAACAGATATTATTTTTCAGCATGAATTAATTATTGATACGGTCTCTTTGGCTAATTGACTACGTCATTCGGCACGTATTCACAAGGTACTAAGCCCAAACATTGGTACTATTAGCTATAAGTTGGTCCTGGGAAAATCGCCAACGATTGTTTGTTTCTAATCACTCGTCCGATAGCATGCTGATTACGCTGTGACAGTCGTCTGCTCTTGTGGCTAGTATGTGATTAGTTAGTGTATATGAGGAGCTCAAGCATTTGAGTACAAGGATTTTGTGTCAGGTTGATCTTCTGACAAGACAACTGAAAGACAAGGTTATTCTTATTTTCGTCATTTATTGGCACGGTTAATATAATAGATCCAATCTGCTCCAGTCATCATTTTCAGATAGTATCATACTCCGCTGTGTATATCAATGCTATCTGATTGTGAACAAGTTATGTCGAATATCTCAGACCATATCCGTTCATCAGCAGATTTCCTACGTAAAAACATATATCTAATAATCCAATCAGGAGTGTTCTGCAGGAACGATTTTTTGTCGTGCCGTTTCTCGTAAAGACTTCGGAGCGGAAACAATATTGAAAATAAGCGTTCTAGAAAATCGTCTTGTTTCGTTTTTTATATGTATTAAGATATTTTTATGTGACACCTTTTTCTTTATTATTAATAACTATTTTCGTGTATTATAAATTATGCTAAATCTTTTGATAAAAATGTTGAAACTCATTACTCAGCAGCTGAATATCATATAGGTCTGAACATTTTGAAAGTCGAATAACGGAACAACGCTCTAAATGACTGTGCAACTTGGTTTTTCGATATTTCCAGTTGCTGCCTTCGCTTGTCTCAATCTTTGAGTTAAACCAATTCACGAGTAGAGCTTTTCAATCTCTATCATTCTATCCATCGATGAGTGTTTTTCAGTTACACTGTTGATAAAAATATTTTCTTTTATATAATTTCCTCCACGAAAATCTCAGTTTGATAAAAATTGTGAAATAGAAGAAAACAGCGAGTCCGTAAGTGTTTTGAAGTTTTTAGAAATTTATGCCTTAAATACAGTGTTTTTATCTCTACCTAACAATATATTCTGCACGTATCAGGAAAACATTCAAGCGATACCAGTTGCCAAATAAATGATTTCGGATATCGTAACGGCTTTTTAAAGTCTAGTAGAAAGAATATTCTCTAACATAGCATAAATCAACTAGATAAGCAATTTGTTGTTTTATGGACATAATATTCTCCAAACTTTGTTCTTTCAAACAAACAAAAAAAATCGAAGTCAATCCAATGTCATATTATTGAGAAATTATTCAATCATCATAACTATGATTTTCTTTGTCATTATCATCTTCGAAATGACTATTATTCGGATTATCTTCCAATATAATATTATTAATATTTTCTCCTTTTGAATGATTAATATTTTTTCTCTTTTCAACTTTTCAATTAATGAAGAAAATTATTCTTTTAACTTAACGTTGATAAATTTCGATATATCTATAATAATTGATTTATTTCACTGAAATATACTTCGAATTATAATTTTATATTTAACTTAATGTCAACTCGTGTTGCGCAAAATGTGATCTCGACAGAAAGTTGTGTCTAATAATGATACTTTTTCTCGAAGAAATCGTAATAGAAAGTCTCACGGGTACGCGGAAGTGTGAACGAGAAACCTGAATCGAGAAAAGTTGTTTCTTCAGGACACTATCAATCAGTCATTTTGAGACTCAATGCCTTTGATAACATTTCATCTCATAATAGGAAATGAAAGGTGGAGCATTTTTTCATTTACTTCGGAAGCTTTCAGCTCCATATTATAGGTTAGATCATCATGGATATGTTTACGAGAATCCTTTAAAATATTGCTTCTAAAATGTTTTATTTTTTGCATGTGATTTTCATAATCATGGAGACATACTTTGAAACTATTTTCAATCAATCAAATAATACTATTTGCTTTTTCTAGCAACGAAATGAAAGACAAAATAAAATTTATTAGCAATAAATCTATTCTTTATTAGAAATTTTTATTTGCAAAAGATCTGCATTGTCATACACAGCTTCGATCTTATTAATTATTAATAAAAAAATGAAAACTTACCAATTCCATAAGATAGTTATTATTCACTATATTTTGACAAATAAAATGAAAAAAAAATCAATAATGTTGTTAAGATTTTTTCTCTCTTTTTTTTTATTTTTTTCTATCAACTTGAATTTTTTATTTTTTTGAGAAAATGGCATTATACAGTCAGTAAATATAAGCAAAAAAAGAACGAAAATTGAATGTTACTTCAAAAATTCATTCCTTATCTGAAATCACTGAAGGAGCGTGACAACCGACACAGACTGATTAAGTAAGCTGAACATTTCTGAAACATACAATAACCTATATATTAGTATCACATATAGTATAAAGCGTTAGAAATTCATGAAATAACTATGAGTTTGAAACAAAATTTTCTACATCAGAAAATATTAACATTTGAACTCATCTCAAAATTTATCTAAACAAAAAGCTTTTTATATTAAATCTAGAAGATAAATAAGAACAAAATGTTATAAAAAGAATCATTATAAGAACTTCTATGAATCATTCACAGACAAAAAAAGAATTGTATTATAATGCATATTTTGAAATACTTGATGAAATCTTACAAGACAAATGAAATAACAATGCGCACAAAAAAAAAGAATTTCATCGATACTATGTAGACTTCATTAATGATTTTCTGAAAAAAATTGCAAAAATGTAAGTGAACAGCAAAATATAATTATTTGCTTAACAATGAAAATCATTCATTCAGAGTAATAAAGTCTTATATGTTGTGACTGAAAGATGAAAAACTGTAAATGTTGTTTAGTACGACAGTTGTCAAGAGAGAAAAATATTTCTAAATTTATCAAAAAGAAAAACTACAATTAGACAACCAATTAAAATAAAAGAGAAAAAACATATCGGTTAGGGGTAATAATTTTGATGGATAATAAAACTCGAAAGCGAAACGAATCGACATTTTCAAGTTCGAGTTCGATTCGGCTCGCTTTTGATAGTGAGATTTTATTTTCAAATTTCTAATTGATTTTTATCAAAAAATTAATTATTGTATATTTTATATTTATTTCTTTTTTGCTCAGTTATATCTGCAGTCTGTGTGTTTTTTTTCGGAAACTTTCATTCGATATTCTATAATATTTCGATCTTCACAAATTTTATTAATTAAGAAGAAAATATTTCGATAGTGTAATGAAATATAAACAAATGTTACATCAAATTTGAATGATCAACCTAATTTAATCAGGAATATTTATTGAGCTATTATAATTCAAAAGGTTTTATATGACTAAAATATAATAACTTTCTCAGACTTATCGAACCGAATAGTTTTCTTCATTGAAAAACTGCATATTGGAAATCACTTGAACTGATACCCACCGTTTAGACTGACATTATGTCTACAACGACATTTTGGTCAGATCAGCAAAAATCTAAAAAGGTTCGTTCTCGTGAACCCCTGGAATTAAGTTATGATTCTTTTTTTGAATTTTTGACCCAGTTGTAGGTATACGATGGAAGAAAAGTACAGAATTTTGATGTGAAATTATGCTCATAGATAGGTCTAACGATTTATAGAGTATTATGTAAGTTTCAACCGGAAGGAAGGCTCATTTGTCAAACTATTGAATTTTCAAGTAAACTCAATTTTTATGGCATGTCTACTAGAATTGACTATTATTAGGAAATTCATTATCTTGATAAAGGAACACTACTTTCAACTGAAACTCCCAGGATATTCTATAGATCACTAAGCTTACATATAGGCAAATATTCACAAGGAAGTATTGGTTTTTGATTTTGTCGGTATATATCTGAAGCTGAATCGGAAATTCACTGGGGGAGAATCATACATTTGCTTCAAAGGTTCATGAAAACAAATCCTTTTAGGCTTCTGCTAATCTCAGCAAGGCATCATTATAGACCCAACGTGAGTTTAAATGGTGGGTATAGATTCGAGTGGTTACTTTGCTAACAAAGAGCAAAATTAGANTGTTAAGAGAGAAAAATATTTCTAAATTTATCAAAAAAGAAAAACTAGAATTAGACAACCAATTAAAATAAAAGAAAAAACATATCGATTAGTAGTAATAATTTGAATGGAAAATAAAACTCGAAAGCGAAACGAATCAACGTTTTGCTCGCTTTTGATAGTGAGATTTTTTGTTTTCAAATTTCAAATTGATCTTTATTAAAAAATTAATTATTGTATATTTTATATTTATTTCTTTTTTTGCTTAGTTATATATGCAGTGTGTGTATTTGTTTTTTTCGAAAACTTTCATTTGATATTCTATAATATTTCGATCTTCACAAATTTTATTAATTAAGAAGAAAATATTTCGATAGTGTAATGAAATATAAACAAATGTTACATCAAATTTAAATGATCAAACTAATTTAGTGAGGAATATTTATTGAACTATTAGAATTCAAAAGGTTTTATATGCCTAAAATATAATAAGTTTCTTAGACTTATCGAACTGAATAGTTTTCTTCATTGAAAAACTGCATATTGGAAATCACTTGAACTGATACCCACCGTTTAGACTGACATTATGTCTACAACAACGTCTTGGTCAGGTCAGCAAAAATCTAAAAAATCTTGTTCTCATGAACCTCTGGAATTAAGTTATGATTCTTTTATTGAATTTTTGACCCAATTGTAGGTATATGATGGAAAAAAGTACAGAATTTTGATGCGAGATTATGCTCATAGATAGATCTAACGATCTATCGAGTATTATGTAAGTTTCAACCGAAAAAAAAGGTTCATTTGTAAGACTATTGAATTTTAAAGTAAACTCAATTTTTGTGACATGTCTACTTGAAATGACTATTATTTGGAAATTCATTATCTTGATAAAAGAACACTATTGTCGGCTAAAACTCCCACGATATTCTATAGATCATTAGGTTTACGTATAGACAAAATTTCACAAGGAAGTATTGGTTTTTGATTTTGTCGGTATATATCTGAAGCTGAATCGGAAATTCACTAGGGGAGAATCATACATTTGCTTCAAAGGTTCATGAAAACAAATCCTTTTAGGCTTCTGCTAATCTCAGCAAGGCATCATTATAGACCCAACGTGAGTTTAAATGGTGGGTATAGATTCGAGTGGTTACTTTGCTAACAAAGAGCAAAATTAGATATCAATATCAGCATTCTCAAATATCTCGGTCTTTGTAGACCTTTCAATCATCGAAAAGTTTCAACAAAGTTTTTCAGACAACAATTGTGTTTTTGTTATAAGTTTATAGTTAATGGCGAATTGGACAGTAAAGGAAGTTGCTGATTGGTTGAAAGCAAATGGTTGCAAAAAGCAAGTTAAAATATTTAAGGGTAAGTCTTTCTATAAAACCTAACAATTCTAAATCTCTTTTGTATTGGTGTATTAGATAGAAAGATAGATGGTAATGCTCTAATGAAACTAACGAATGATGATTTTGTGCAGTTACTTGTCGAAGTTAATGGTGATGGAATGATACAAGAGCCAACAATTGGAATGAAAAGTAGATTTCGAACAATGTTAATAGAATGGAAGAGGGAAAATAAACAAGAAAATCTGAATAGCCAAGATAAGTAAGCAAATTTCTATTTGACTTATTTCTATTATAAAAATACTTTTATTCTATTGAGAATTGCTAATGGTTCATCTGAGGTTGTTTCATCCAATGTGATTGATTCAACTAACTTAAATGAGGTAAATATTGAGATTATTTAATAAAGATATCATAATTAGAGGTGGGTTTCAGTTTGAAATTACAATCAAAATGTATTCTATACTGTTTCCAACTCCCGATATGTTTATATAAATTGTTACAGATTGAGAAAAAAAAGATCAAATAAGAATTGAAAGTTAATGTTAAAAATTTTTCTTCGAGTTAATATTTACTCATAATATGAGATTTTATTAAAAGACTTTCTAACCTACTTAGACCGTTCTATTATTGTGGATTTTTCTCAATCAGTTTTGAAAGTCATGTTAAACAAACTAGAGTCGTTATTTATTCACAAGAACTGCATGTTTTTCACATATTTATTTGCAACCTTCTTTAAAAAAATATCAATTATTTAAAAAATTTATAAAATCTTTTTCGTTTGTTTCTTTGTTCATTCTTTTTTCGAACACACATCCTAGAATCCTCGAACGAGTTCTATGGTAGCCAATTGTTGTTTTCTTTACTTGAAGAAGCATGTGAAGTCGTTGTGTTCTTGTTTTGAGTTCGGCTTTGCTTTTTTAAATTAAAAAAAAATTCTATAAATAGATGACTATTGTTTTTTTTAAGTTTAGCTATATATAGCATAAGTGCTTTACAGAGAAATTTGACTTGCAAACTGAGCTATTTTTGACTCTTTGTTTTTGCTGAATATATCTCTAAACAAACCTCATAGTATATGGCTGAATAAGGATACCTTCTCCCTCCCCCTTTCGTTTCTGGAGAACAACTTATTAGAAAAATTTGAAGGTTTCAAAACAGACAGATCTTGATGATTAGAGCAAAATTTGTCATCCCCGATGCTGTTTTCTATGAGATATTGGAATCACAATGACGAAAAATGGTTCCAATTGTCGTTCCCGTGTCTTCAAGATGCTATGCTCGATCTAGCTGAAAACTTATTTACAGGCACTAGACACAGTTTGGCATGGATATCGTATTATTTATTCTTCCTGCAAATAAAAAAATAGAAATATCGAAGGTGTCCTAAAAAAGTGCATGTTTTTTTTAATAGAGATTTTTTTGTAAGAGCTATCAAAAATCCGTAAATCAATATTTTTTGAAAGAAAAAAAAAAATCTGATCCCAAACAGTGAATAGTATATGTGAAAAAAGTTTTAGCTCGATTAGACGCTCTAGACCGAAGAAGTGGAGGCGTTTTTGCACGTTTTTCATGACAAAGTTGATTTGAGAAAAATACGAAACAATGTACAGTTTTCGTTTTTTTTTCGTTATGTAAATTTGATTTGTTAACACTTACAGACGATTTTTTTATCTCAAGCTGTACTTAGTAGATAGATAACACTTCAGACTACACATTAGCTATATAAAACAAAAATTTTGGGTCACAAAGAAGAGAACGGGCGGTATGTTGAAACCGAAAATATGTAGAATTTAAAATTTTATCGATTTGTATAAGTCAACAATCAAACATCGATCAAAATGTCTTTTATTACTACAGTAGTATATCTATATATATATATATCCTACTATATTATTCTATTCATATTATTTTCAGGTTAAACACAAGGAAGATATTGTTTCTAAAAAGTCTAAGAAGAAAAATTCTGATAAAGTTGTATGTGAAGTTAATTATATAGTTGATGATGATATTCATATACAATTCTTTCGAAATCCAAAATTTCTACCATATTTAATTAATTATATAAAACAAGAGACATTTTCAATTGAAATTGATATTAAACAAGTGAATTCAAAAGATGATAAATCCTTACTTAATTATACAATTAAATTAATGGGAAAAAAAAAGCAAAATCGTATTGTTGAAAATTTTATTAATAATTTATTTCAATCAATAAAATGTAAAACTTATCATCAAAATAAAATAAAAAAATGGTTATTTAATTTAACATTAATTGATATTATTCAAAATATATTAGATAATGAAAATTATTTATTTAGTGTATGTCAATTTAGTAGATTAAATAATAAAATTTTAGAAATTTATTATTTTGATGATGAAAAATTTAATTCTTTTCAAAATCTTATTGAATTTGATAATATTATTCAAAATCAAATTTTACAAGAAAATATTCTTTTATCATCAAATAAATATTTACAAACTATTGAATTTATTGATATAAATACACAAAAAATTTTATCAAAATATGATGTTACTCCAACAGAACAATATGAAGAAGAATTCGATAATAATATGAATCAATATGAACAAAATAATATGTTTATTTCTGTTACTCGAAATCCATATTATAACAATAGAAAAAAAACAAAATATATAATTAAAATATTTGGATATAAAAAATTTGTCAATGAAGTTTTGCAAAAATTCAAAGATTTATTTGATAAATATCGATTGAGAAGATATAAATTTAGTCAAATGTCATCGGATCAAGTACGTCAACTTTGTTTTATTTATATTATTTACAGTTCTTTAATCATGTTGAAAAACTAATGTTTTCAATATAACAAAACAAAAAAACATTAATTTTATTCATACTTCCACATTTTTATGCATATTGAATCAGCTAATGCATGCTGTTCAAGTAAAGAACGAATTAGAAGTCTTATTTCTGTGTCAATTGATGTTGACAATTTATATAATTTGAGAGGTTTTGAGATATGCGAAATCAAAAATTGAAATATACTGGAATCAGGATCAAAATACTTGATTCTGAATGTTGTTACTATTGTTTTGAATGTTTCAGGATCGCTGAATTGCCTTTTGGAATGCTGTGCAAAGATCTAAAGGGAAAAGATATTCTTTATTTTTGGTATAAAGATAGAAGTGTGGGGTGTCGGTGATCGGCTGTACATTCTAATATTCTCTTCTCTTCACTTATACTCATATCCACCTAAGAGGTATCACTATTTTTAATATTATTCGAGTTTTGACATTTTTCCTGTTCTATACTGCTTTGCCGACATTTCCCTTTGGTCTTTCTACGATCTATCTTCCTTTATATTTATTTATAATAATATTTTGACTTAATAATTCTGTTCAATCACACTAGCTATAAATGAGTTTACATTATTTCGAGTTAAGTTGACGATTTCTTTCATTCTACACATTCTAACGGTTCCAAATGAGTTATTTCCTACTTGATAGTAGACCAGTGTCAATCTAACGAACAATACACAATTCATTAGCACATAGAGGAATCAGAATGATTTCATAAGAAGAGTTAATTTACTCGTAGTTCGTAGCCGTTATTAAGCGTATTATTCTAATAATTATTAAGCTTTTTGTAATTTGAATTGTTTCTTCATATTTTTCTGGAAATATTCATTAAGGTCTCTCTTTTCTTTTTAATATTCAGCTTGAGTATCTTGCAAACTTTTGTACTGAAGAATTGCATAATATTGAAAGAGAATTTCCAAATGATTATATAAAATTAAATATTCGACAAAATCAATTTTATGCATCACAATATTTAAAAAATGAAATTCAAAATTCTATAATAAATTTATTATCTAATTTACAAACAACTACATTAAAAAGTATAGAATTATATTATGATATTGCTGATAAATTATATTTAAATATAAAAAATATTGCTCAACAAAATCGTTGTTATTGTGAATTAAAATTAAAAAAAAAATTAAAATCTTATCAAATTCCAAAATCTAATCAAAATACATCGATTATATTGAAATCATTTATTGAACAATCAAATTTATTCTGTTCATCACCATTCGTTTTTTGTCAAACGAAATTAACTAATGGATCAATCGATGTTCTTATGGGTGATATCGCTTTACAAAAAGTTTGTTTTTATTTTATTGAGATTTTAAATTATTCATCATAAATTCTAGGTTGATATTATTATTATTCTGTCAACATCATTTGGATTAAAAGAAAGTTTGATTGAACGAGCCGGTGAAATCATTGAACAACAAAATAAGACAAATTCAATTCCATTTATTACCGAAACAACTGGTGGAAAATTAAATTGTAAAAAAATTCTTTTTGTAAATTGGTCATTACCAACCATGACAACAAATGATGATCATTTAAGTGATTCGATTCAATTATTTATTTCGAAATCGATTCAGTATGTTATTATGGATAGTCAACAATCGAATTTAAAAATTCAATCGATTGCATTTGCAGTTCCTGATTCATGTAAACAGGAACAAATTTTAGCAGAAGAAATGATTGAAGAAACAATAAATCAAATTAATATGACAAAATCTGTATCATTGAAAGTATCATTTATTTTATTACCAGATCAACAAATATTACATCGACAATTTTTAAATGTTATTCAAACGATACAAACAATAAAAGATAGTTTTGGAATTTTTTATTGTTCAGCATCAAGTAAAATTTCACTTAATCGTAATTTAGATTATGAAAAAACAAATTTATAAAATCCTATATAAATCCTTTCAAAATGTAGTAAAAGTTTCATGAGGATACGCTATACCCTGTTCGATAACCAGAAATAGCAGAAAAAAAAGAGGAGTAGTATCCTTAAATGAGTCTAGACATAAACAATACGAACTTTTTTTAATTGAAATTTTTGTTATAATAGAATCTATCTTGATTTTCTTAAATAGACAATTCATTCCTACTTTGAACTGAATTTTTCTGGAAAAAACGTATTTTTTCTTAACATACTTTCAAAAATGAATATTTTATTTAATTATTTATGGAAATTTTTACTCAATGCATTTTCTGTTGTGTTTTTAGCTATTACAATTACACTAACATCCTCAAATAGTGAACATTTAACAAAATGTGAAAAAAGAATAAATAATTATTTAAAAAGATCTATTTTCAAAATGACTTTAAATGGATTTAATAATTGGAATCAAGATATGATCAATGCTTTTTATAAATATTCAAAGGATAGATGTGTTTTACCTAAATTAGACAATCAATTACAAATTGTATTATATGGTCCTATAAATAATGTCTATGAAGTTAATCAAAAATATCAATTAATAAATGCATTAATTCAAGAAAAAATAAATTTATTATCATTATTTTCAACAAATACATCATTCAATAACTTCAATATTATGTTAAGTTATTCACCAATTGATTCTATAATATCACATCGTTTAGCTAATCGTCTCATTGATGAAGGTTTTTCTGTATGGATGAATTCAAATCAATCTAAAGAATTTAATGAAATATTAAGAAAAATAAATAAATCTGATTGTGTTATTCTTTGTATAAGTGAAAATTATTTTGAAGATGAATTATGTGAAAAAGAAGCAAAATATGCTGATGAAATAGGAAAATCTTTCATTCCAGTAAAAGTTCAAAATTATGAACCAATTGAATGGTTACAAAAATTAATTGAACAACAATCATATTTTCAATTATTTGGATCTGAAAATCATTTTAATTTAGAATATGATAAATTATTATTGAAAATTGTAAGTTTACTACCATGTAACAACAAAACAAAAACTTAATTTAATTATGAGAAAGTAAATGAACATGGCTAAAGTTGAAAGAAAAATAATGTTTAGCACAGAGCTCATGACTTAAATTAAGTTAAATAAAATCATCGTGACTAAAATCTTTACAATTTAGTTAGAAGATTTTAGTTGATTTAAATAACTGTCGACTATTAAATTATTCGAATGAAATAAAATACCTTTCATATTCATTGTAGGAGATTTAAGTCTTTAATGGAATTAAACAACTATCTGAAAGTATTTTCTCCTTCATCTTTATTACACATTCATGTTTCTGCTTTCTAACGATTGAGGATTCAGAGAATATTCTTTCTTACATTATATGTTCTATATTAAAGTTATAAAACTCGTCTGTTAAATCATAAACTCGGAAGAGAAAAAAAAACTATATTCTCGACTGTCAGTTTTCACAGTTTTAATAGCAATCATACGTATTGTCACAAACAATAAAAATGAGAATTGTTACTATGAAGTCTCTAAGTCGCATAATTACAAACTTATCATTTAATCAATGACAATCTTATATCAAGATTTACTCTATTTTCATTTTAGTTAGAATGTATAAGATATAATTATGTATCTTTACTTGAACAAACATCGAATCGATCGAATGTATTGCAGCAAAATGATCTGACTAAATCTTTTGAAGATAATAGTACATTATATTTTCTATTAACACCAGAACAAAAAAAATTAAAATATGAAAAGAATATAAAAAAATTAATAAATTTAGAAAAAGGAAAAATAAATGAAGATGATAAGAAAAATCTTATTGAAAAAGTACAAGATATTATTCATGTAAAAGAAAAAGAATGCCAAAAATATATCTCTGAATATGGAGGACCCTTCTGTATGTATTCATTTATTTCAAAAAATGTTTTTCTTATATTTTTCTTCTCAATAGATTCACCAAACTCATCTAGTCCAGATTATCAAAGAAAAAAGAATGAAATGATACAATTTATATGGTTTAACATTGGAATACTATCGTATAGACAATGGTTAAACAAAATAGAAAATTTAAAAACAATATTAAATATTCCACCATTTACATTTAATGGTGATATTAATAACGCCGTATTTCCTATGTTGAATGAAGCTTTAAAACATTCATATCTTTTATATTCTTTGGGACAACATTATTCAATACCAAATAAATTAGATTCTCTTTCAGATGAGAATAATATTCGTTCTACTAATAGTTCGTCAACACGAAGAAATATAATTATATCAATACCAAGAAAAAGTACCAGGGAAAAATTAATTAATGACGAAATAGATTCTCAAACAACATCGAATGAAGCAAGAAGTTTAGTCAATTCTCATTCTAGAAGAACAAGCATACTAAACAAAAATGAAAAACGAAAAAATATTAAGAAAAATCATAAACAAAAAATTTTTATTTCTGAAAAACCTTTTATAAAACCTTCTTTTACAGAAAATGAAAATCTTGATTTTAAATTAAAATTTGCCGAACAAATGCAAAAAAATGAATATGAATTTCAAAAGTTTTGTGAAGAATATAAACATTCTTTATGTTTACCATCGAAACAAAATATTCGTAATTATCCAATGGCTATGTTTGGTCCATGTCCATTTCCAAACATAATAATCGAACCACTTAAAAGAATACAAACACATAATAAAACTGAATTACCATTAAAATTTCCTTGGAATGGAATTTTCGATACAAAAACTCCATCAATAGCATGGAAAGATCCATCAATATTCTTCTTCTTCGAAACAACATCATCAGAAAAAAACTAAATATAACAATTTCATTTCTCTATTCTTTTTATTATCAAATAAATGAAATATCATCACAATACTAAAGTTTATCAAGTAATATGTAGTACATTGAACACACCAGAAGTTTCTTTTTACTCAGCTCTTTTAAAAACTCTAATTTCAGAGTAGCTATTATAATATAATATCTAGACATATTTAGGATTGTGTGATAAATGTCAAGCTTAGAAGTCTCGATCTTCGTTGTATTTTTTAATATCTGTCAGACTAATGATACAATATATTCCACATGCATTTTAAATTCTGACGATCGAGAATACTTTCAAAGTATATTTTGACGTGATTAGTAAATCAGGTTAACTCATTCATAATTGAAAGCAGTTTCATATTCGATAGGATCGCCATTGACTGAATAGATTTCGAGACACTAATTTTCATCGGGTATTCTACATTACTAAATTATGATAAGAGCCCGTCGGCTTCAAAATTTTCGAATCCGGACCTAGAATCAAGTGTATTTAGGGGCTACCCTGACAGATTTTATTAGCGGTAGATCATAAATTTATCATAATGATAAAAATATAATAGAGTAGTCGAAAATTGCACTATTAGAAACTAATTTATGAACAATGAAAGTTCATCAAAACAAGAGCTCAAACAATAAAATATGCTAATTTTTTTTGCAGGAAATCTAATTTTTCCAAGTTCATACCATTATGAACTGATAAACGAAAGTGAGCTTGTTAATAGCTGCCAAACACAATTTTTCAAATAATATCAGCAAAAAAAATAAAACACCGGTCTTTGTCATTAGAGTCACAGATCAAACCAGTCTGAAACCCATACAGACACTGAACTAACGAGTTTTCATGCTATTTCATCTGTGGATAGCAATATTTGACATTGGCTATTTTCAACTAAGTTTCATTATATATTCTCTATGAGATGCTAAGAGCAAAAAATTAACAAGATATACAGACAATGATCGATCTATCGGCAGATCGGTCAGTCTGAAATCCATACCGCTACTATCTATGGTCTTAGTCTTCACTATGAAAATACAAGACTACGAAAAGCTTGAAGTTTCAAAAGATTTTTTTAGCAGAATTTCATTTGAAATCGAATTAAACTCTAACGTAGTCTCAAATCTGAATCTATATTATGTTTTTGTGCCTTCAAAACCCAAATATTAATTGTATGGAATGAAAATCGACGTTTTCAATGCAATGCTAACTGTATTAAAACGAGACATAAATGATAATCTCAAAAACGACTTTCATGACCTAATTTAATCGAATATACAACTGGATTGTTCACGAAGGATAATAATTTGGAAATAGCTTTAAAATCAACAATTGAATAGTTGTCTAGAGAACTGACAAAAAGAACTTTTAGTGTTCGTTGTACTTATAATGTACAGAAATTCAATAAATTAACTTGTTTTATTCTTGTAATTAAATTATGATGAAAAAAAAAGAATCAATTAAAAATGAAAACTAAAAATAAAAAAAAACATTTAATTTTTTATTTGTCCACTAGTCGATAAATATAGACAATGCCTTCATTATAAGCCGGTACAAACATTTCTGGATGTCCATCATTGCCAACATCTTCAACACTAACTTGACCAATCGTTGATTTATCAGATTGATGAATTATCTTTATTGAATATTCCCAATTTGATGGATCATCATNAACTAAAAATAAAAAAAAACATTTAATTTGTTATGTGTCCACTAGTCGATAAATATAGACAATGCCTTCATTATAAGCCGGTACAAACATTTCTGGATGACAATCATTGTCAACATCTTCAACACTAACTTGACCAATCGTTGATTTATCAGATTGATGAATTATCTTTATTGAATATTCCCAATTTGATGGATCATCATCATGAATTGCTTCTAGTAAATACACACAACCATCATCATCACCAGATAATATTAAAATAGGCTTCTTTCGTACAGTGAGAGAATAGAATTGAATTGTTATGGCTTGTCCTGGTGCTCCTCGACCTTTGGCTTGAGTAAGTGGTCGAAAACTACTAGCAAGAACATGTTTTGTAAAATTTCCTTTACGTATGTCACCTGATGGTGGAAGTTCATAAGCAACTAATGAACCATTAAATTCATCATTAACAGTAACAAGTAGATCAGGTCTCTGATCACCATTAAGATCTTGAGTTAATTGTATGTAGGCATATGGAAGTGGTTCATAGTCAATATCACGCACATGTAATTTAGTAGTGTCATTCCACAATGGATCTGAATCCGACCAGAACATTTGAAGTTTACGTTCAAAAAATGAATTAGCAAAAAGAACCTAGAATAATGAAATTAAACATAACGAGTTTTTAAGTTTTATTGATATTAATAGAATATATATTTGTAATGAATCATCTCTAGCAAATTGAACTTGAATATCTGGTCCACCATTCGATAATAAATAATAAAGTTTCCAAGGGCCAGTTATTGTTTGATTTCCTGGATTTTTCAACCAAACTAATTGAGTTGTTGATTTACCAACAAATGGAATATTTACATGTTCACTCACAATATCAATAAAACCATCTCCATCCATATCTTTGAACTCAGCATCATGATAAAACCATTTACTTTTATCATCTGGTACTAATGGTATTGCATTGGTGTCCGAAATGACATATAGGTTTTCTTTATTTTTACCAGGAATAAGAAAACCGCTTGGAACAATCATTGAATATTCAACTAATTGATCTGCTGCTACAATACCATTAGGCCAGATTATTTGATTGGTTATAAGTATTAGTGTAATTTTTGTTGTTAATTGTTGTCCTATATTAGGTACATTGTAAACATAATCTGTAGTTTCTGGAAGTGGATTAAAACAAGAAATAACTTAAGGCCACGATGTTGAATTTAATGTCCATGTACGAAGAAGTGTTGAAAAACCAGCATGAGCTAATTCATTTTATTTAAAAGAATTGGTGTGATCTCCCTTTTGTTCAATAAAGGACAAGCAAAAGTACTCTCAACGAGAATAAACTGGTAAAACTTCATCATATAAGAAATGATAAAATACCGAAATGCAAATGTGTTATCTGCTTCATATATTTTATTATCATGGTGTTGTGTGTTGTAAAAGAGAACAATCATCTACAGTATCTTACACCATTAGAGACCATCTATAACGAACGTTCCCTGGACACCTAGTATAAGAAAAACAAAATTTCAGAAAAAGTCTACTTGTTCAAATGCATTCCTTCATTTGTGAAATGCGATCTAAAAGAAGGGTTGAAGTGTATAGGGTAGAAATTTGGATTCTCTCCTCTCTCCATTGCACCTCACAGATTGTGACAGACGTCATGAACTACTTCCTTATTACATTTCTAGACGATTGAGAAAAAGACGGGCGAAGAAATGTGTTCCAAAATATATAGAATAAAGCAATCTCTCTGCTACAGTTTATTATAAAAATATATCAAAAATAGAATTGAATATAAAAAAGATAAATCATTGATTTCATAAACAGCAAACAAAACTATCATCTATTTTAAAGGATTTTTTTTTAAATATTTTCAATTAGTTTAAGATCATATTCATATTCAAATTATTCATTTAGTTCATTTTCGATTAAGAAAATACTCTTTAAAACTAACTAAGCTGCAAAAATTCGCGGAAAGTTATGTGAAAAGCAAGGAAAATAATCAATCATAGTAAGTCTCTGGACGTCCAAAAATGTTTAACCATTCACTTTCTTCCTTTGCCTGAACGTCCTCTATGGATGACCGCGTTTGTAATATATTTGCTTTTACATGTTATACTATATCAAATAATACTGTGTAACTAATTGTATGATAATTTTAAAATGCGAATTTTAAAATTATTCGCATTGAATTATTTTGTTTGCTCATTATCGATTAAAATTAGAATTTTTGTCGAAAACAAATAAAAAAAACTCTTAGCATACCTTAAGTAAAAATTTTTGTAAAATAGATTTGGAATATGACTTGTTGCTAATTAAAAAAAACAGATTGATTTATAATTTTTTGTCATTTAAAAATAACTACGGCAGATATCACTTTATTTCAATCATCGTGAAACCTATATACTTTAATAAAGTACTATGATTAACATTATTCTATGAAATGCAAATTTCAAATAAGCATGTTGGTGTTTAGTGTGCTACAAGATGTTTTTCTATTCATTACGTTAGATATGATAATATATAGTAGTTTCTGTTTGATATTTTTGCGATTTTCTAATTTTGTTTTTAAATAGAACAATATTTTCATCGACAGGTCAATGTATTGCCCGTCAGATTATATCTTCTTTCGCATTGTCCGTTTCTATAGTGATTTCATATTTTATCAACAATATATAAATTTCGAATTCTATTCTCACATTTATAAATTGAAAATATCAGCAATATACGCGATTCTTCGTATTGTAAAACATATTATC